AACTACAAGGCAAATTCTCAGGGACTCAGGGACACAGGCATTCTTTGAAGATACATAGCCAGCTTTCAGGAGACACAGCTCCAACTGTGGAGGTTCTGGCCACCTCTTAATGGGGCTGCTACAGATTGCAAAGGGAAGAAATTAAATCATTAAGAGATATAAGAAAATGTCAAAAAATATGTGCACTATTTTACACTTCTTAGGTATGATTAATAATATCTAGATGCCATTAGTTAGTAGCCTTTTTCTTATCACCTGAGTCTCAGGACCTAAACAAAAATAGTTTGTCTACTGCATCAAAAGCTTATACAGAGTGTTAATTGCTATTTTAAGTCAGAGGGGGGGGGGAAGATGTGCCAGTGACAGAAGCTTAGCTTAGGGCAACATAGGTACTATTGATCTCTTGAAGGGCTGTGATATAACAAGCCCAGACACCTGTGATTCTTTCCTAATTTATTATAAATCTTTGAATAGCTTATATCCTACAAGACTACATACCTGCAATTTCATAAGTAAAATATGTGAAAGTACTGTTTGTAATCTGTCCAGAAGGACACAAATCTGGCAAAATTGCTCTGTCAGCCAAGGATAAAGAATAGGCCTATGAATTTCCTCCATCAGATTAGCTGGTGAATTAGTCTTATATATCAGCTGTCATCTGTTGTAATTGTACCATGGCCTGCAGCAGCTTGTGACATATACTGTGGTTGTTTGGATGAGAATGGACTCCATAGCTCATATGTTTGAAAACTTGGTTGGTATGAGCACTTTCCCACCAGCTTGGTCCCAGAACCATGTCAGCCCCAAATAACATGCAGAGACTCTACTAGTTATAAAGCTGTTGGCAATGGCTAGAGCTTCTTAATTGGCTAGCTCTTTCTTAGATATTAACTCATTTCTACCAATCTAAGTGTTTTCACCTGGTCTTATCTTACCCAAGAGAGGGTCTGGACCTCTTTTCTCATGCCCTACATCTTGACTCCTCTCCCAGAATCTTCCTTGTTCCTAGTCCTGCTATCTTGCCTTCCTATTTGCCAACAGTGCTTTATTCATTAACCAATAAGAGAAACATATTTACAGAATGAAATCTCCCATCACCTGGTACCTGGTTGATAGAACTGTTTGGGAAGGATTCAGAGGTGTGGCCTGTTTGAGGAGATTTTGTTAGTGGAGGATGGTCTTTGAGGTCTCAAAAGCCTCTGGCCATCATCTCCAGTGTGGGGTTTCTGCCTGTTCCTTGTGGTTTTTAAGATGTGTGCTCTCAGCCACTGTTCCAATCACCTCTTGATGTCTTATCTCATTAAAAGTTTTGTTTGATTGTTTGTTGTGGGCAGGGAGTCACAGAGTAGCTCAGTAGTGCACTTGCCAAGTATGTACTGGTTTCGGTTTCAATTCCAGGTTCCCAAAGATTTTGTTTGCAGCACACCCTTCTTTATATATGTATTTTTATAATAAGAACCCAGTAGTGTGCACTTGCATATTCACAATGGAAACAAGATTACATCTCCCAAGGTATGTTAGATTTTTCAGTCTTCTGAGCCCAGAATTTATGTCCCTTCTGTGTTGCTCAACATTGTGTTCCTTTGTGTTTTGTCATTTCCTAAATTAAAGATGGTTAATCTTGTCACTTTGATGTTATCTAGTATTTTCATGGAAACAGCTGCCTAAGTATGTCTGGGAGTTTCTAGATTAGGTTAGTTGAAATATAAGACCTGGCTTAATTTGGGAGGCACCATTTTATGGCCTGGAGTACTGGGCTGAATAAAAAAGAGAGAGTGGGCCTGAATCTCTGTTTGCAGGTGGTGGCTATAATGTGACCAGCCTCTCTCAATCTCCTTTGCAGGTGGTGGCTATAATGTGACCAGCCTCTCTCAATCTCCTTTGCAGGTGGTGGCTATGTGACCAGCCTCTCTCAATCTCCTTTGCAGGTGGTGGCTATAATGTGACCAGCCTCTCTCAATCTCCTGCACCTCTCCTTCCACATGATATAAGCCATCCTAAATCCCTCATCCCTCTCTCTTCTTTTCTCCCTCTCTCATTCCTTTTTTCTTCCTCAAGTTGCTTTTTGTCAGGTATTTTCATGCAGCAAGTAAAGTAACTAATACAGAAATTAAACTAGAAGGTAGCTTGCAGTTAATGTGCTGAAAGGTGTCTCAGATAACAAAAATACAGAATACTAGCAAGGTCAAACAAATAGCTGTGTAATTAACACGGACAAGTAATAGATATTTTACATTGATTTTTTTTGTTTGTCTGTTTTTTGGGTTTTTTTTTTTTTTTTTTTTTTTGTTATGGGCCAGTGCCAGTTGTTTCTTTTGCCTTAGATCACCTCTCATTAATTAAACCACCTAGCTGAATGGGCTTTTTTGTATCCATGTCTAGAATGAACAACTTTCTCATTTATCTATTCCAGGGCTTTAAACAGTAATATATGCAAGAGTTGTATGTTTCTCTAAGGAATAGCACAAGATATAATAATATAATACTGTCTCGAGGAGTAGTGGTTAAATTTGGGGAGGGGGTCATTTATCTCTTTTCTAATATAACTGAAGTTATGAGTTCTTGCTGGGCACAATGGCATGTGTCTTTATTTCCAGCATTTGGGAGACTTCAAGGTCATCCCCTGAGGCACAGTGAGGCTGGGCAACATGCACACACTCTCTCTCTCTCTCAAAACAAACTATGAGCTCTTTCCAGAAAAGTAGCTATCATACAATTTTTCATTAAATTTCAGGAGATCCAATGACCCTTCTGAAGGCTTCTATAGTTCAGACCTGAGGTTATAAAACTTTAGACTGTATGAGACTCAACTTTATTTCAACCAATTTTATTAGTAATATGTCAAGAGAGATTTAAGAGAGTTAAAATTTTACAGAGTCAGCCTGAATAATGGGACAGTAATGTACTCACAAAGCTGAAAAAATGACTAATATATTTGCTTGCTGTATTACTGTGGAGCTAGGATTAAGTGCAGCAAAATACTTCTGAATTATAGTTTAATAGGCATTACTGTCCATTTTACAGATATTCATGGGACTCTGGCTCTATAATAGAAGTTGTGCTCAGCATGAAGCTAAAGGATGCAAAGATGCTTATACTTTTCTTTATGAAAGCAAGTAAAGAAAGAGTGGGTAATAGAATTAACTAAAGGGAGCTGAATGACTAAATAAGAAGACTGGGGCTGCAGAAATGATTTAGGTGGTAAAGTGCTTGCTGTGCAAACAAGAGGGTCTCAGTTTGGATTCCCAGCACTCATGTAAAAACCCTGCCATAGTAGCATATCTGTATTCCTAACACTAGGGAAATGAAGACAGGAGGATCCCTGGAGCTAGCTGAACAGCTAGTTTATCAAATTTGTATGCTCCAGGTTCAGTGAAAAAAACCTTTCTCCAAAAGTAAGGTGAAGAAAAAAGAGGTATCTACATCCAACTTAACACTCATACACTTGTGTACACAAACATATGCATATATCTTAGTATGCTTTCTATTATTGTGATAAAATACCATGACCAAAGGCAATGTAGGGAGTATTGGATTTATATTGATTACATAACCCAAGTCACAGTCCACTGAAGGAAGCAAAGCAGTAACTCAAGTAGGGCAAGAAACCAGGCTGGAACTGGAATAGAGACCATGGAGTAATAATGCTATTTACTGGCTTCCTGTCCATGGCCTGATTAGCTTGCTTTCTTTTACAACCAGTGACAAACTCCCCCAGGGAAAGGCACTGCCCAGGACACTGGGAATTTCCACATCAATCATCAACCAAGATATTTCCCAGAGTCCTGCCTACAAACCTGTCTAATGGATGGATTTTCTCAATTTTCCCTCTTAACAAGTGACTCTAACTTGTGTCAAGTTGACAAAAACTCATCAACACACACACACACACACAAACACGAAAACAAAACAACAACAACAACAAAAAAACACTTTCAATATAACATGATTTTATTTTTTTAAATAGTATTGATTTTACTACTTTGACTAGGTAAGTGGAATTATGTACTCCAACATGGTTTGGCCTTCTGTATTTTGTGTTAATATTTGCGTATCTGTGCTTATTATTAATTCCATGGCAATGCCTAAATCCAAGATCAGTCAATACTGAAATGCCACAAGTTTATTTTTCACCACTCTTATGTATCTTATCCAAAAAGGGGAACAAAGTATTATATGTAACAAACAGACTTTTCTTCTTCACTTATTCTAAGGGTTCAGTAACCACACCTTAGCTTCAACTTCTCCTTCCATAGCCTTGAGAGTCAGGAGTAGCCACACCTCAGATTCAGTTCTGTTGTTGTTTAGAGTAAGACAGCCAAACATCCTACTGTAGCTACACCTTTGACCTTTAGATCTCATAACTTGCTGAGGACAGTTTTGAACTCTCTGTCCTTGTGCCAAGATAGAGTTGCAGTCATCTCTATGGACACCCACAAGATACAAACTATGATTTATAAAATGTTTATTATTAACCCATTGAAATTTTTGGTTTATAAATATAGGTTTACAAACACAGGGTGTAAGACACTTAATTGTATTATAATGTTGAGCTACATATGCACAAATATAAGGTACTAAAATACATAGTTTCTTTCCATTTTAAAAGTTATCTGCCTAGAAGGTTGAGTTGAACTGAAAAAAAATTCTAATAGTGGTATTTCCCTTTATACCATAGGTATATAACTATAGCCAAATGGTTATACAACACAGAAAAGGTATTGAGAATAATATGTTAATATTAAATTCTACCATCTTTTGCTATTACCTAAGTATGTATCATCATGTACAAAATCTGTTCTAAGAAAAGTATCTTCAAAGAAATGGAATTAATATATTAAGTGTCCTTATTTTGCAGACTTTAGGGACTGAGGCTCTCTTCTTGGCCCCAGTTCTGGGGAATTGACCCTCAAACCAGGCAAGTGTACAAACCAAGCAACTGCTTTATCGCTGAGCTTTATTCCCAGCTCTTGGAGGGTAAAGATACTAGGTTGCTCAAGTCATATGCCAGAAGCACAACCAGGACTGATGTAGTCTGGCCAATTTTGACTGCATCTTTTTTCTATTATTTCTATTTTATTTTGTAATTATAATAGGATAATTATCAAGTAATAAGACTGTTTCTTCAGTCAAACAAGTCTCCTTGTTTCTCCTCTTATACTGAGCATTATAAGAATAGGATGCTCTATGTAAAGTGCTTTCATAGCTTCAAAGAACTTTATATACAGGACATAGTTCATTTCCCACATGATTTTATTTATCTGGAAAAGGCGGATACAAAAATCATGGCCTTAAAACCTTTTTTATATCACAGTGATCACAGTGACTATATATTATCTTGATGTTTCTTCAGATAGACAGTTCTCCTGCTGTAGCTGGCTCATAAAGAGTTTCCAAAGAATCTGTTGTTCTTATAGCTCAAAAAGAGTGATCTTTGAGTGTAGGCTAAAGACTTCTTGCCAAAGATGTTCCTTATTTGTATCTTGTCTGGAGTAAGAATGTTCAGTTTGTAAAACTTCAGCACTATGGTCTACATCCCTATAGAAGGAGTATTCAGTGTCTGTGTCTTCCATTTTCATGGTTTCCTTTGAAGCTGGTATGAAAGAATTAACTGCAGGCTTAGACTTTACTATCTGCATTAAAATGGTAATAATAAATTTGTTATTTATGTTTAATTTTTCAACTGTGCTGAAGAGGAATGAATTTTCCTGACCTGACAAGGTCAGGAAATTAATTATAAAGTTTGGATTAACAAGATGGTTGGCAATCATGTCTTCTGAATTTGAAGTTGTCAAAGCAACAGTTGGAGAATTTTGATTCTCAAAAGATGTAGAAAACCCAACTATACCTAAATCTTGATTTAGTGATGTTTTATGGTATCTAGCTTAAGAGTTAATATATTACCTTATATGCTTTATACACTTGGGGGTGGTGGCTTCAACAAAGCAGATGAATCAAGTAATTCTGCATGTTCAGAGAGTACATCTATGTTACCTGTATTTTCCTTTGCTTCATTTGATCCAAGTGATTCTTCAGACTTGGCTTTTAGGCATACTTCTTTCACATCACCCAATTTTCTCTTCTGAGACTTTGTTTTTAGAAGTATCTTTTCCCTAGAAAATATTTTTAAATTCTGAAAAAGACATACTAATAGACTTTCATTAGTTAGAGCTACATAAACTATAATTTTGAGCAGTATACTGGTCAAACAAACTTATTCAGTCATGAAAGTTCTACTTAAATATATTTTTAATTTTTAAAAAAGCATTACTGTCTTCAATATATGACAAACATTTTAGGTTTTTCAAAAGACTAGTGAGTAAAGCATAGCCCACCAGTTAAATAAAATGTAAGTATGCATAGCCTATTTTTGTAATTGTTGTTTCTTAAACTGCTTCATAATAGTTCAATTTAAAGAAACTGTCATACTCTTAGTACCAGTACAAATTAGTGTTGCTTTTTTCTCATGCATTTGTTTTCTCAACAGTAATCATTCTTACTTTCTCTACTCATTCACCTTGAAAAGTGTCCCTGCAACATTACTCCCTCTCTACTACTTTAACACCTGATAGTCTTGGGGCAAAGGAATGATTGCAGTTTGCTTTAAATAATGGATACTCCATCTGATATCAAGATCAGGAGTAAAATGGTCACTACACAAGAACTGGTATTTACTGGGAACTCAAAACTCTCTCCTCGTATTCTTCAACTGCTTTTCAAGTCTTTATCATGTAGAGGAAACCTGAAATTCAAACAAACAAACAAACAAAAAACTTCGACATATTTTTAACATTTTTGCCAAATTCCTAGCTTGCATATCTAAGTAACCCATTGTTGAGTGTTACAAAAGCAAGGTAACCATCCCTGTCAAGTAATAGAATCTCTACAATTATCACCATCATGTTTCTGTGAAGTAAGAAAACCAAGATATGGTAAGTGGCCATAACTTCATCTGATAATAGCTTATAAAGCACTTCAGTGCTCTTTCAACTAAAATGTGTTGCTACAAAGGATAAAGTTTACATATACTTCCTACGGGTTATACATAATTATTATATAGTTTGCTAGAAGTAGCAAATATATTCATAAATTACAAGTTTTCATTCAAATGTACTTAATAAAGGATAAGTCAAATGGTTTGCTGTCTACAATTTTAGGCAGTATTAACATTTTAGCTTACTTGTATCTTTTTTTTCTTTTTTGAGACAAGATCACTATGTACGCCAGGCTGGCCTCAATTTCATGATTCTCCTGCCTCATTCTGAGTGCTAGGATTACAGGTATGTATCACCATGCTTATCTTGTGTTAATATTTTAAGTGAGGAATCAATTGAAACAAATGCTTTAACTGAAAATAAAATGACTAATACTCCATTCTCTTTACTACTGGGTTCTGCATGAGCTCTACTTATGTGCAATTTAGTCAAATGTTTCTAGATGTTGACCCCAGATTAGGAACTGTAACATTCAAGTTCTGAAAGAAGAACGGTGATGAAAGAAAAGAATTGAGTATGTTTACATGTTCAACCTCAGCCAAGTGTGATGACATACCCTGAAATCCCAGCATTCATTTGGCTGAAGCAGAAAACTTGACATTCTGTTCCTGTATTGATAATCTGAATTCAGGGCTGGCTCTAAGATAGTGAAATACATTTTATAGGCAAAAGTGTATTAATGGCAGTGCCAGAATTTGACAGAAAAAAAATTTGTTAGTTTAACAAATTTAAAGTACATTAAAGCATAGCTAACAATAATTTATATTTAATTAGATGACATTCCAAAAGATAACCCAAGGCATATACTATATAATTACACAAAACATAGTTATTATACTCTCAATCTCAAATTACTTAGTTCATGCTTTGTAAAATTAGCATTTTTACTTGCCTCAAGTTTTGCTAAGTTTTCAAGGTCCTACAAGAAGAGCCTAGGTATGTAGGAAATAACTTGTCACACTGACAACTTTATGTAGGAAAGCCAGATGACCTACTTTTGGGAGTTCTTGCCAAATGAAATAATTTGTCCTTTAACCTTGAACATATTGTTTTTACATGTGATAGGCATAACCAAAACAGGTACTTAAAGGCAAAAAGGTCAAGATCAAGCTTTTGCAACATTTAAAACGAGAATATACCTCTTATAAATTCATGTGGAATATGCAGCATACACATGCAAAGTTATATAACAAACTTTTATAAATGTACTTTGTGAATGTCTTTATTGGTAACTGGATCAAACTACTTCTCTGACCTACTCAGCCATGTTCTTAAGAAATCTTCTAGATTGTTTCTTGAATAATTTCTTACATTGGCTTATTTCTTTTCTTTTTCTTTTTGGTGTTTTTGTTTCACATTCTGTAATTTCTTTAAATTTGTAAGATAGTCACATTTCTTTTTTGCTGACATGGTCTCTACTGTGTTGCCTAGCGTGGCCTTGAACTCCTGATTCTCCTGCTTCAGCATCCAGAATGTTGAGATTACAAATGTGTACCACCATGCCCTGCTCAGATTATATGCTGAACACTAAATGCACACAAAGTACTAGATTCTTATAAATTGATAGCAGAAAAAATTTACTTCTGTAATTATGCCCTCCACAAGGATGAAAGATCTTTGACTCCAACTCTCAGAGCTAGAGTCATCACTGTTATGACATTGGCCTTTTAACTAACCATGAATTTGATTTTTCTTTTTCTTTCTAAATATCATTGCATTTTGTGGAAGGGATTCAAGACAACCAATAATGGAAATAATGCCACGTCATGTGAATGACTTGGGTTTATAAGCTTTTCCCTTAATTGATTGAACCATTATTGAATAACAGCATTGAACTAAAAACAATGGTATTCTCAAAATAACTTTGAAGTAAATGACAAATCAGATTAGCTCTATCTGGAATGACTTAAATACAAGGAAAAAGGAAATGGAATATTTTAACTGCACTGACGTTCACATATATAAGTTTAACATATACTCCAAGTAATGTGTTGTGTTTACTCATACAGAAGAGAAATCTGAGGAGCTGAGATATTCAACACTTTGCAAAAGTTACTGAAGCAAGGGAAACACGGCTTGAACCCAGCAAATCCAGATGTGGAATGACACACCTCTTGTCTTGGCTTCTGAATGAACTAAGTACTTAGGTGTTGTTTCTGGATTTCTCATGCTGTCTTTTCACGCTCTCTGCACTAACTGAAGAGTTTAAATACCCTGTTAAGGACACAAGTTACAATTCCAGTCTATCAGAATTTTCAAGGTTGCTCACATCATTCAGCGGAAGCAACATAGGGTCACATTTTAGCTATGTGACCAACCTCACAAGAACCTCACCTTCCCAATTAGCGACTCAAGATGGACTTTAAACGTAGTTTACGTCGAAATGAGGTCAGCTAAAGCAGGGAAAGGGCTGGAAACCCCCTTGCACAGTGCAAAGCACCATGTGCTCGAGCCTTTTGGGGAACCAAGGACGAACAGACTAACAAAGTGACAGACCAAGTCTTGGACTCCGAGAGCCACTAACTCACTAAGGGTGAGGCTGAGTCTTCAGGTCACCGGGCTACTGAAGGATAAAAGCTCAGCTTCCGGTCTTTATTATGGCCGCGGCACGCAGCGGCGAGAGTTTACTTGGGGTCAACCCGCCCGCAAGGGGCGTAAACCCGGACTCCTCTCCAAAGCAGGGAGTGGAGGGCCAGGCCCCGGTCGCGCAGCCCAGCACGCCTGCGCGGCGATCCGCCCCAGGGAAGGACGTGTGCTTCGTCGACTCACTTCCGCTTCCCCAGGCTTTAGCACCGCCTCCTGGAGGTTGGTTCGGGAAGTGACGCACAGATCAAAAGGCAACAACAGTTTTCCACGTGCGCGTAAGGCGCCAAAGTCAGGTGGGCGGGCGGGAGCCAATGGGGAAGCGTTTCGTGTAGATCCTCTCGGGGCGGCCGCGCCAACCACGGACTCCCGCCAGTAGGGAGCGGGCCGAGAGGGACGGAGGCCGGTCTGCGAGGTCGGAGCCTGAGAGCCGGGAGCAGGGAGCCGGGAGCCGGGAGCCGGGAGCCGGGAGCCGGGAGCCGGGCCTCCGCGGTGTGGAGAAGCTGCTGCAGGGCGGGGCGCACGGGTGAGGACCGGGCTGGGCGGCGCGGAGACGGCCCCGCTTTGTGCCGGCTCCGCCTTGGCGTCCTGCTGTCGCGCGGCCGTTCGGCCGACGAAACGATTGTACCCCGAGTTGGCTGCGTCACACTCGGTGCAGGTGGTGGGGCTGGGGTCCGCTTTCCCAAGGCCAGGCCGGCGGCGTCGCGGAGCCTGCCGATGGGTCCCGAACACGGCACCGGCGCCCCAGTGGAGCGGGCCGGTCCGGAGTGCAGCGGGGTCGAGGAGGGCGCACCCATTGTTTGAAGGAGAAGCCAAGCCACTGAGACATCTCCAGGGTCAGCCTGGAGCAGAGGAAGGCGCCTTGCTGTCAGTGGTAGACTCGCCCTTTCACTGAGGGACATTGGCAGTTTCTGGCGCTCACCCGGCAAGCTTGGCTTATGGTTTTTTGTTTGTTTTTTTCTTTTTTTTTCTTTTTGTAGACAAGGTAGACCTAGATAGAGCTCACTGTGTAGACCAGGCTGGCCTTGAACTACAAAGTAATCCTGTCCCTGCCTACCGAGTGCTGGGATTAAAGGCCTGTGCCACCGTGCCCGGCTTCTGCTTGAGTCTTTAGACTAGACCGAGAGTTTGTACTTTGTGGTTGGTACGCGTGACTATGACTAAGTCTCAGGAAAAAAGTAACCTACCTGCTAATTAAGCTCAGAAAAGGCCACAAGAGAGGACGGCTGGCAGTTTCCACAAACTATAGCACGTTTTCGTCAGCCTTGTTATGTCATCATAGGCTATTAAGGACTAATGTGGTTCAGCATTCAAGAAAGCAAAGTATTATCAATTCTAAGTAAAAATGTTTTAAAGAGAAACGGTTTATTCGCTCACAAATTTGAAAAACTTAATCACTTATCCACAGTACAAACTATTTCCTTCCTCTGGTAGCCTAGCCTTAGAAGTCTTAAACTTTACTAATCCTGAGTTTTAAGCAGATGTTAATAACATTTCTGAAGTACTTAGGACCCTACATGTATGAAAACTGATTGTTTTAACCCCTTTAAGAGCAAATAGAATTAACCAACTTGAGAATCATCTTTCCTTCCTCACCTTTGCCTTGATGTTAAGATTCTAGCCAAACACAAAGAAGACTCGATTTTTCAATATTTGCATCATATTCTGAAGCTAGATGTTGTGAAGGCAATACTGAGAAAGCTGGGGTAGGAAGATCAGGACATCTAAGCCAGCTAGTACTTTTTAGGATGATGCTGTCTTAAAAAAATATTTTGAAGAGGTAATAATACCTTTAACATCACAGGCAAACAAAAGTTTATTAACATAAATAGTACAAATCTTGCCTTTCTAAGAAAGTATCAATTTAGATTTCTTTTCAACAGATAAGCAAAAGGCTTGCTAATAGATTCTTGATATTAGAGATATTGTCAGTACAATGTCATGAATATATGATACTGTGTGCATAACATTTTGATGCTGCTGTAAGTCTGTTATACCAAAGGTTTGTTGGGGTAATTGCTTTCTAGAATTCTTATCCTTGGGTTTAAAAAAAAAATGTGTTTTCCTTTCTTTTTTAGGATATCAAAAATGGCTACTCCCCAGTCAGTTTTTGTCTTTGCAATTTGCATTTTAATGATAACAGAATTAATCCTAGCCTCAAAGAGCTACTATGATATCTTAGGTGTGCCAAAATCTGCCTCAGAGCGACAAATCAAGAAGGCCTTTCACAAATTAGCCATGAAGTACCACCCTGACAAAAATAAGAGCCCTGATGCTGAAGCAAAATTCAGAGAGATTGCAGAAGGTAAGTAAATGACTTCCTGCAGTCTCATGGGTATTTCTAGTAAGGGCAATGATAACTGAGAATTTCATGTGCTCTTAAAGATCTTATGGAAATGGGAGAATTTGATGTAGATTTTTGCGATTACTAGAATAGGTACCTGACTCCTAATGAATTATAGTAGGTAATTTTATTTACAATTCTAAAAATGATAGAAAGACACCATTTCCCTTATTTGTTATTTCTGAGATTACTATGTATAAAGTGGGGTATTAGAAAGCCAAAATTCTTATCAAGTAACTTAAATGTATTTTACTAAGTATTGACTTAATATAAACAAAAAAGGTTAAGTATTGCATCTACGTTTCAAAACAACATGTCTTTAAAAAACTATAACGTACATTTTGTCTTCACACTAATTCTAAAACAAATGTACATTCCTGTATGTTACTTAAGTAGTTAATGGGTCTAACAAGAAGTTGGAGTTGAACATTTACTTAGTTAAGTGAAAAACCTGATTTTGTATTAGTTGGATGCATTTAATTTAATTCTTTAATACAAATACTAGTTCTGCACAAATAATATGAAGATGAACGAATTATTTTTTCCTACATTTGTGATAATGGTAGCATTTATTTATTTAACAAATATAGTATATTAATTGAAGAAATAATTAGAAAGATATCATTGTTCTAACTACTGATGAGTTGATAAAACAAAGTCCCTGCCTTGTATTACAATTACATTTTAGAAAGCTTTATTTTTATTTGTAATATTTTGTTTGTGATGTAAAATTCTTCCCAGAAATACATAAGCTGGAATCATGTATTTTAATTTTACATGTATATAATTTTGAATATTTTATCTTCAGTTGCTAAAAGATTTTTATCTCTTTCAGCATATGAAACACTCTCAGATGCTCATAGGCGGAAAGAGTATGATACAGTTGGACACACTGCTTTTACTAATGGCAAAGGACAAAGAGGGAGTGGAAGTCCTTTTGAACAGTCTTTTAACTTCAATTTTGATGACTTATTTAAAGACTTTAATCTTTTTGGCCAGAACCAAAACACTCGGTCTAAGAAGCATTTTGAAAAACACTTCCAGACACACCAGGATGGTTCCAATAGACAAAGGCATCATTTCCAGGAGTTTTCTTTTGGAGGTGGATTGTTTGATGATATGTTTGAAGATATGGAGAAAATGTTTTCTTTTAGTGGCTTTGAAACCACCAATCGACACACAGTACAGACTGAAAATAGATTTCATGGATCTAGTAAGCACTGCAGGACTGTCACTCAGCGAAGAGGAAATATGGTTACTACATACACTGACTGTTCAGGACAATAGTTGGTTCTTTTCTGTTTCTACTAAGCCCACTTAGTTTAATATTTCTCACTATGTCTGATGAAAATACAGTTTTCTGTGAACTGTTTTAACAAATGCATGATTTCACTTACGTTAAGCAGTTGGTTATAAGTATTCCATATATTATTTTTGACAGATTCAATCACATTCAGCTAGTACACAACTCTGATTATTAATTTTCCTGATTAGGAAAGGTTCTGTTGAAAGAAGATTATTTGCAAGATTTTTTTTTTCTTTATTCATTAACTCACTAATTTGGCCACACCCAAAAAAAATCCACAAACAAAACCCAATTTGCCTGGTACATACTTAAATATTAAACTTTAAAAGTTACTATAGATATAATTGTGTGAACTTGAATAATTTTTGCAGTGAAACCTCTGCTAATTTAAAATCCGCATGCCTTGTAGCACCTGTGACTTGGGTTACTAAATGTCTATGAAACCAATTGAGTCAGTCAGCGAAGGAGACAACAGGCTTTTGGCTAATTGCCACTGAATGCTTTAGAAAGTGCTGGTTTGATACTTACCACAAAAAGTTGCCTCTTCAGTAGAATTGTTTTAACAGGAATGATTGTATTGCACGTAGTTAAGCTGAAAATGAAAAAGTTTAAAACTTAATGATGAAATATTGCCAAGAGATTGTGTGTTTGTTACTGGGCTAATGATTTTGTATGATCAAAATCATAGCTATTTACACTTTTTTTTCATTTTTTTTTTTCTGTTTGTTGACTTTCTAGGTCTTAGTATCAATTTAAGAGTTTTGTTTTGTGTTTTTTTTGTTTGGTTTGACGTATGTGTGTGTGTAGTTCCTCTTGCACTTATCTTTATCTAGAGATTGACTAATACCTCATTGTTTTTGTAAAAGCAGCCAGTAATTTCTGTGCAACCTTATATGTGCAATATTTTTAAATCCTAAGAAATGTGTGCTTTTTTTGTTGTTAGAGTTATTTCTTTAGTTCTGCACTTTTCCATGTTATACTCCATCTGAGTATTAATCCTATGGATGCATATAAAAACTAGTAATGTCTCATGCAATATTGTGTGAGTGAGAGAAATACAAATATTTACAACCTGATCTTCACTGTTGTCATTTTATTATTCAGTTCTGGGCTGTACAGTGTATAAAATGGAGCAAATACTAATCAAAGGTCATATTCTTTATGTAGTTTTGTCTAACCAGAAACCACTAAGGTGATCTTACTTTATTACCATTTGGTAGCTTCTCTTTTGTTACCATCTCATATTTCAGTAGCTTGAAGGTTTTATTAACTATAATTTTTGTGTATTTGCTTTTTGAGAGCAAGTGTTGTGTTCTGTCACAAGGCCTTTCCTAATTAGGCCTGGTTGAGAAAAAGCGAGACTGCATAAAACTAACAATCTTTGGGAT